CATGAAAAATATCATTTAAATCTGTCTAACAGTTTCGGAGATTAGCCAATACAAACAGACATACAGGCAAACAGACAAAATTTTTAATAACTATGGTTTTGGGGTCTATATTGTGTACAAACAAAAACAAATCTATACCACGGGAACTGTACATTTTCCGGGATAAGAAGTAGCCTATTTGTTATTGTATTATATAAACTATATTATTGTAAAGTTTCATTAAAATCCAATCAGTAGTTTTTGTGTACTAAGTTGTATAAGTTACTATAGTTTTTTAAGCGGGTTCTGCTAGTAATATATTATTATATTCTTTATTGCACTTAAAATATGATACAGAAAAAAAATAACACAAATAAACATAGTTCACAAAGGTGGACTTATCTCTAAAAGAGATCTCTTCCAGTCAACCCCTGGTTGTGGAAGAAGATGTCAGCGGGTAATATAGTGCAAAAAAATTTACTAAATATATACTAGAAATAAAGGTAATAATAATCACTTATAGATACATACATACATATATACATATATTACATATAAAAATATATAATACTATACATATATAATACCTAATGTAAAGACTACTTATACATACATACATACATATATACATAGTTAATATATAAAATATGAAAATAGAGAAAGGTACTGATTGATACTGTCTACATTTGTGATAATAAATAATTTTTTAATTTACACTTAAAGACATGAATAGATGGGCTCTCATGGATGGTTTTGGGCAGTTGGTTCCATAGTACTGCGGTATATTTAAACTATTAATAAAAATTAGTTTTTTTCCACTGCTTATTTGATAAAGCTAGCATATTTGATAAGGTTATGTCGACTTCATACTCCACAAAGAATGATAAAATTATAGCAAAACAATGTTGTCTCTAGTGCTGTTAGGGTGTGTGTGCTTCGGAACACTAGTGTCCTGTGCGGGCCCAGGTTCGTGCACCGGAGCTGGTGCATGTTCTGGACAGGGTTTGGGATCGGGGACAGGAACGTGTGCTGGAGCCAATTCCTGTTCAGGAGCGAATAGCGGTGGTGGTCAGCAATCTTGTACCGCAGACGGTTCGTGTAGCGGAGAAGAATCGGGAAGCGGAATTGGGTCGTGCACGGGAGCTACTTCATGCGGAGGACCCAAAAGCGGTGGAGGCACGGGTTCGTGCACTGGAGCTGGTTCGTGCAGAGGTGCTCGAAGCGGCGGAGGCACGGGTTCTTGCACTGGAGCCGGTTCGTGTTCTACTCCGGACTCGGGCATGTGTAACATGTGTTGTACAGCTGCAAATTCATGTTAAGAACTAATGTATACTGTTTTCATTCACGTGTGAATTATTAAATAAAAAATCAAAATTCTAATGAAATGTTTGTTTCATTACTAATTAAATTTTGTTTCTATAAATCGATATTTATATTTTCTTCTTACGAGTATATTATGTACGTACTAGGTACATTTTAGCGGTAAGTATAGAATATGTACAGTGTACACGCATAGCTATAGAAAAGTAGGCAAGTATCATATAAATATAAGTTTATGAACCATTTAAAAATATACAAATATAAAATCATAATATCCTTAATAATAATAATTTCTAAAGTAATAATAATATTTACGCTCGAATAACGTATTCGGCATATGAATAAATAAACGGAATTCATGTGGTACCGGGCCGTACGGGGCCTGAGGCTGCGAGGATAGATAACTACGGAACTGTTATGGGTCCCTGGATAAGACCCTTTTTAAAAAAAAGATTTATTTATCACTGAAAACACTTTAATAACTTTATTAATTATTTATACAATATATATGGGATATGAAGAGCTAGTGCTCTCGACCGACGATACTCTCGAACTAACTTAATACAAATTAAAGGACATATATATAGAGTACAAAATGATTATAGCTAGTAGGGCTATAACATAAATAAGCAATAACCCATACAGCGAAGGGGTATAACAGAACCCTATATTGCGCGTGGCTCGACACGCACTTGGCCGGTTTTTTTAAATACTTCTCTATAATTTTATTTTATAAAAAAGTGTGGTGTTGGGCCCACTGTCACTCAGCACGTACCTAATATACCTATCAAAATCTCAATTTGTACCGAAACGTAATTAGTCTTAACACGTTCACTGCGTAAACAAAAACAGTGACTTTCAGCTGGTGCGGTGGCAGTCCAAAAATGCACTCACTTAACTTTCTTATTGTGCGTGGTAGGCACTTTCGACCCGACACCTCCGGGTGGTATCTTACCTCTATTATCTTAGTCAAAACGTATTGTACATTACAAATTTTTATACTTTTAAAATCCTCATGAATCACTTGTCTATACATTGGCCCCGCCCCTGGATGCTCCAAACAGAAAATGAGAAATTACTAATCGAAAATGTCAGGTCGATAAGGCCCGATACCGCACTAAAGTGTAATTTTTGTAGTGATGGGATAGTGAAAGAAAAGAAAATATCGAGTCATTAATTGTATTAAATTTTTATAAAATCAATATGTGTTAATTACACAAAAGCCAAAAATAATAATAATTAAGATATACCAAAATTAAATATTAGCAAAAAAAAATCTTAACAAAAACTTATTTAGATCTTTGTAACATGTTATGCAAAGAGACTGATTACACTTGAAACAGACTGTTTTAATTTTTTTGACTTTCTTTTTTGCTTCTGAGGTAGTTAATGTCAGCTTTTCGTAGCACCTTGCACAATTTCTTCTTGTTTTTTAACTATTTTTCTGTATTTATTTCGTTTAGGGACTTCAAAATTTGAACCAATATATTCTTCTCCGATATCACTATCATTTTCTAGTATTATTTTTTGTTTTTCCGATGTGCCATTGAAACAAAGTTTGCACGAAACCGACGAGCGCACGCGTGTCGTCCCTATAAAGTTTAGTGTTAGTGGAGAGGTTCCGGGATATGATTATATGGCTAACGCTGGCTAATAACTATTTATAGCGAAGCGAGGGTGAGCTGCCAGTATTATATACCTTAAATACAGAAGTTATCAAGATTTACACAAAGAAAACATTTATTTATTTTTAAAAATATTAATATCTGTATTTAATTTTTTTAAACAGCTTCCCTGAACTGGGAATCGAACAAAGTAAAAATGCAAAAAAGGACACTGTCGTTATTTTATCGAATTAATCGATAGGGTCTATGAGAAGAATAAAATCTCTCGAACAAACATTGCATCTTAGAAAATGATGAAATCTTACAAATTACACACTCTAACATCGTGGAACAAACGCACAGGACATGGAAGAAAAGTCTTTTAAACACTGAAAATATCAAGTTTCAATCAATGGAAACATTATTTTATTTTTTAAAGTAAGATTAACTGCATTTAATTTTTTTTTGAAAGTTTGACCTTAACCGGTAGATATAGATATGCGGTGCATCATACATATAATTTCCGACACTTATACTACCCTAATGGTAGATAGGCAAATAGTGGATATATAGTACAGTACAGTAAGTGTTAGCGACGACTAAAATGTAATCTATACTAATATTATAAAGAGGTAAAGTTTGTGAGTTTGTGACCGCGACCGTGTAACTCGGCTCATATCGGCGGGCTTAAAACTAACATATAAACAGGCTAACATCAACGTTATTTTAAAAAATCCAATGTTATGTACACCTGAAACTTACAGTCTCCTTCTTTTCTCTCCTTTTTTAAGTTACTTTAAAGAGTCATTATTATTTTGTTAAGCTTTCTGTAATAGCAGCTGCGCTCGCTAAACTAAAGAATTTGCACAATTTTACTTTACATTGAATTTATATGACGAGACGTTTGGCTCAGTGCGTAGTGACCCTACTTGATGTGCCAGCGGTCGCAGGTTCGAGTTCCGCTGGGGGCATTCATTGTGTGATGAGCACGAATGTTTGTACTCCAGTCATTGGTGTTTATATTTATAATATGTATGTATTTAAAATTTATATATGTGTAGTGTATCAACTATCTGGTATCCATAACACAAGCCTCATAGCTTACCATGGAACTAGATGGTGCTGTGTGTTAATGTCCCAACATATTTATTTATTTATTATGTATTTATTTATATGTTGTCATATGTATCGAATTTGTAATATTTTGTGTACATTTATGACATCAAAACAATAAAAAATAAAAAATAACTGAAAGAGAGTTCTCATTTACTATAGATACCTAATCAGATATATTTGAATTAATTTTTAAAATTTAAAAGTTTTATGTTTTAAAAGTAATTTAGGATAAGAAATCCATAATTCCATACTTTTATATTATAAAATGTTTTGTTTGTATACTCGTCAATAGAATTAAATAAATATGTGTTTTAGCATTTTTAAAAATGTATCTAAGGAGGTCATTAATATAGGGGTTGAAAGTTTGTATGAAACCTACCTTTTTATAGATTTTTTTGTAGTTTTAGCACGCGGGAAGCCACGGGTTCTGCTAGTTGTTAAGTAAAACTAAAAACGTCTAACGAATCAAAACTCAAAAACTTTGAAGCCATTTTTTTAAGTTTTTTAGATTTTGCATTTCATTTAATTTGCACCTAGAAAGTACCTATCTATGTATATGAAGTTTATTAGCGAATATGTCCATACAAACATGCTAACATTTCAAAATAATAATTAATAAATTCCCATCCCTTGTTTCGTTTAAGCGGTGGAATTTTGTTTTTTTTTGAAATAACATGTTTAAAGTTTGTTTATCAGTTCAATCAAGAAATACAAATAGTAAATTTCAAGCAGATCAGACCATTTTTTTTCATTTTTATACTAATGTTTCATTTATAATAATTTTGTATTGTTTACTTATAATATAAAGCCAAAGTATGTAGTTTCACGCGAGCGAAGCCGCGGGTCCTGCTAGTAATAAATAAACTATTTTTTTCCACTGCTTATTTGATAAGGCTATGTAGTTTATTTCACAAGGTTATGTCAATTTCGCACTCCGCATGATGAGTATATCAGAATGAAAAATAAAATTACGGCAAAACAATGTTGTCTCTAGTGCTGTTAGGGTGTGTGTGCTTCGGAACACTAGTGTCCTGTACAGGTCCAGGTTCCTGTACCGGAGCTGGTGCATGTTCTGGACAGGGTTCAGGATCGGGGACAGGAACGTGTACTGGAGCCAATTCCTGTTCAGGAGTGAAAAGCGGTGGTGGTCAGCGCTCTTGTACTGCAGAGAGTTCGTGTAGCGGAGAAGAATCGGGAAGCGGAATTGGGTCGTGCACGGGAGCTACTTCATGCGGAGGACCCAAAAGCGGCGGAGGCACAGGTTCGTGCACTGGAGCCGGCTCATGCAAGGGAGCTCAAAGCGGCGGAGGCACGGGTTCTTGCACTGGAGAAGGTTCGTGCAGAGGAGCCCGAAGCGGCGGAGGCACGGGTTCTTGCACTGGAGCCGGTTCGTGTTCTACTCCGGACTCGGGTAACTGTGACATGTGTTGTACAGTTGCAAATTCATGTTAAGAAAGAATTTCTAGTGTAAATTTTTCAATAAAAAAATGAAAATTTTAATAAAATGTTTGTTTTATTAATAATAAAATTTTATTACTATAAATCTATGTCTGTATCTTCTTCTTTTTCTTATATTATATAATTACTTGTCCTGACTGATTCATAGACGCAGAGCCTAAACTGTTAACTACAAGGGTTAAAAACTTGAAATTTTGGCTGTTGATGCATTTTATGATGTAAACTTCCGCTAAGAAAGGATTTTTGGAACTTCCACCCCTCAAGTCCTCCAACCTCTTTGTATGAAAATCTGTTATTTTTAATGTGGAATGAACGAAAGAGTAATATTCAGCTTTAAATTAGAAAATACGAAAAAACGTATACAAAGTTTTTTCAAAAAGTCCCTTAATGCGATGCTCATTATAAAAAAATATGAATAGGTACTTTTAATGAAGTTAAAAGGCCAAGAGAAAAATTTTTAATTTTAATTTTATTTCATTCTATTTAAATTACTCGCACACAATAATTCTATTAGATAACATCAGACAAGCTCTACTACCAATATTTGTTGCACATTTTTTAATTCATCTTTCTAAAGTTAGGAAGACAGTACAATGATAGAACTCGCATACAATGTTTAGGACCTTAGAATCATGTAACTCGGCTAAAAACTTTTAATGTACAAATTAAACTCAGTTAGAATTTTATTATATGTATAGATTTGTAGGCTTTCACAGAAGCAGAAAAATCGTTGTTATTGCGTACATCTGTGTATCTGCATACACAAAATGGTTGTGGTTGATTGCTTTGGATTGATAGTCGTTGGTCTAGTCACCTAGCGGCTAGCATTAATAATAAATACAATTACAAATAGCACAAAGTAATAAATACAATTGCTGTTTTCTTATTTATATATATATTATTTTTTGCTGTGTTTTATTTTAATTATAATAGATAGATTTTTCGTTACTATATTTGAGTTTTTACATGTAGAAGGGTTTTTCGTAACCAGTAATTAAATAGTGTTGTAGTGCATAAACTTCTAGACTTTTCACATGGAGAAGAAGTAAGGTAGTCGACATTATTAATAAAAAAGGCTGGTAAAATTATTAATAAAATATATGTTCACGTTAATCCCTCCACGAGCGCGGACACGCCGGCGTTACAGTTAACAATAGATTTCTTAGAAGTTTAATTAATTTCTTAGAAATTTACCTGGAGGTATTAACTTTAATAGAAATATTCCAGCCTTCTATAACTTCATTTTAATGGCAACGTAGGGAATGTAGAACCATATATTTATGCAGACAGCATACCTTCTATGATTGAAATGATTCGAAAAAACGGCGCTTATTATAAGACAGCGTCGATTCGAAACGTTTTTAATCTAAGAGTTTTAATGTAAAATCTATGTAATAATAGTAGCCATCTATCGTGGGCAAGTTTTCTCGTTGAATTTCTAAAAGCATTAAAAGTTGAAAGGACAGTGAAAAATCCAAACAATAAATTTCTCTAAAATAAATATAATACGTTTTCAGTATGAATATTTTATTTCTACTTCATTGTGTATCAATAAAAAGATCAGTTCTCTCGTATAAAGAACTTTTTTATAAATTCTATAAACACAGTCGGGCTAATATCCTTTGTGGTACTGTTTATGGCGATATTAGTATCACCAGAATCAGCATTTCCGATGTTTTTGTCATCTGAAGATCCTTTAGACTCTTCTTCACATTGTGTAAGCTGGATCATACACAACAGTACGACTAAGCTGATGATTTTGATCTGCAACGAAAAGTAAAGAATTTTTTAATTTTTTTATAAATATTATTATATAGTATTGGGTCCAATTTTTATAAGTAACTGTAATAATTAATAAAATTTATTTTTACTTTTATTTTATTTACTTACGTACTTTTTCAATTTTCTTCATTTAATTCTGTAAAGAGATAATGAGACTGCTACGATTCGGATTCGGAGGAGCGGGATGACAAAATAATTTTCTATCGTGAGTGAGAAATATAGAGCGGTAGATGCTAAGCGCCAAAACAGTTTTTAATTTACTATAAAATGTAAATTAATTAAACAAGTAAAAACCTATCGAAAAATTAAATTCGGTAACTGAAGAAATACTTCTAGGCTTCCTGACAAAACAAAAACCCTCCAAAAATATTTTTTGAGATAAATAGCAATATGTGTGCAAAACATGTACTTTTCAAAAAAAATATTATCGAAAAAATGACATCAAAGTGGTAACTTTCCGCACACTCTTAATTTTAATACTTGCGGTTAGTAACGAAATAAAACAAATACGAGTACATAATACCTATATTACATTTCTATTATCTGAATAAATTTTTTATCTTTTTTTTTCTATAATGAACCTTCAATTTTTAGACTCGGATTTAGAATTTAGTTAAAATCAGTCTTACCTTATAACCCATGGCAGATGTTATTCAATTGTATGAAATGAAACAATCTTAACTCTTTATATATGGCGAAGTTACGTCATTTTGGAAATACTCCGAAATTGCCTCTTGATTATACCCGCTTCTATATCTTTTATACGTGTACTTAATAAGTTTAAGTTACAATTAAAACTTCCTGTTTCAATTGTAAATTGTAACATAATATGGCAATACAAACATTCTTCCGAGAGATTTGAACCTGCAACTCCCGATAATGAAGCCCTTTTTTATACCCACATTTTCTTAAAGTTGGGATCATATCTAATATATATATATATATATATATATATATATATATATATATATATATATATATATATATATCATGTTCTCCTAGCCGATTCCGGCTACGGCGCACTATGGGAAAATCGCGTGTGTTTCGTCTCAAAACTCCGTATCTCAGTTGTTTCAAAACTAAATGAGCTGTAATTTTGCACTCATATACTTGTATGTACAAAGTTTAATTGAAATAATTTTGATTTTTAAAAATTCTGTTTATTAATTAATTTAAGAAATAAATCTTAAAAAATACATGCATTCATATCATTAATAATACTCATCACCGTAATGAACTTTTATATTATTAATAATACTCATCACTGTAGTGAACTTTTTATCAATTTGACCTTAATAGATAGCAAATGATTTTATGAGAAATAAAAAGAAATTGAAAAAAGAATGATTTTTACCTCGCGATATGTTTTGACACCGTGACAAAAAAAAGTGCAAATATGTGCAATTTATTTTTTTCTCCTTGCGTTAGCTAATGTATAAAGATCTTAATACAACAAATATCTCGACAGCGGCAAGCAGCGGTAATGGGTAAACGTCTCGTTAAAAAAAAATTAACCCTAAAAACATACCATATTAAATTATATTGGTTAATTTTATTTTATCAAACTTATATATATATAATACTAATTACGAAACGTTAAGAGGAGATTATCAGCATTTAAAAAATGTATAATACTTATACATTTATATCAAAAACATTCAAGTAATGTAGCGTTGAATTGTAGTAACGCATTGCGTCAAAATTACGTTATTGAACATGAGTTAGCTTTGAAGCCTATTTATATACATTATAACAAAAAAAAAAAAAAAAAAAATAGGATAAATTAAGCTTATTTATTAGACTATATTAATTTATTATTTTTATTCCATAACAACGACTTTCTCGTGAAACGGTTTTGAGACGGCTTTGTATGGATGGGGCTTTCCCATGGTGCGGCGGCCAATCTCATTGAGATTAGCCAACTGCGCAGGAGATATTATAGTGCTCAAGTGTACGCGCAGACACAAGTGCACTCTCTATTCCTATCACTCTCATACTCCGGTGGGACGACCACTCGACACGACCGGTGAGAGTTAAGGCGCAGGACCGACGGCTTTACGTGCTCTCTGAGGCACGGGGTGCAACACCGCCAACTTCCCAACTCCGGGCTGTTACTGAGACTTACTATACAGAAAGTCTCAATAACTAAACTTGGCCCGACCCGGGACTCGAACCCAGGACCTCCGGGTGTGCAGCCGTACATGCTAGCCACTACACCACCGAGACAGTCAATATATATATGTATATATATATATATATATCGTTTAAATATATTAGATATATATCAATATATAATCTGAATTTTGGAAACGGTTCCAACGATTTTCATGAAATTTAGTGTACGGGGTTTTTGGGGGCGATAAATCGATCTAGATTAGTCTTATGTCTGGGAAAACGCGTGTTTTCGAATTCCATGCGGTTTTCTTTTGCATTATTCTACGCAAAATATTATCTTCGATAATTTCGAACATTCAGATATAAGCATCATGGTCAAGCGGCCAAGGCGCAAGATTGACCATCATAAGTGTCCGGGTTCGATACCCGGTCGGATACAAAGGTTATAATTAATTTTTGTTTTTTTATTTGTATTTATTCAAGTTTTATGTTTTTTTTAAAGAAAATTGTACTTTTGACCAAAAACTACGAGCGAAGCTCGGTGGCCCAGGTATTTTTAGAAAATGTCGGTTTATTCGTGTTTTCAATAATCAACTTTATCGATAATCAACTAAAACATAAACTTATATTTTTTATTGGAAAAAAATAATAAAAAGGTGGCGTTTGGGTAGTCCTAATGTTGCCACTTAAACATAAACTGAAAAAAATGACTCGTTCTGACATCTATTGCTGAATAATAATACTATTTTTTTTTAATTGTAATCTGAATCTCGGAAACGTCTCCAACGATTTTCACGTAATTTAGCATGCAGGAAGTTTTGGGGGCGATTAGTCGCTCTAGATAAGTCTTATGTCTGAGAAAACGCGTGTTTTCGAGTTTTCATGCAGTTTTCTTTTGCATTATTCCACGCAAAATATGGTCGGTAATTTGAACGCTCAGCTATAAGCGTCGTGTTCAAGCAGCCAACGTGCAAGGTCAAAAATCTCAGGTGTCCAGGTTCAAATCTCGATCGCATACAAAGTTTTTACTTTTATTTTTTTAATAGGTATTTATAGGTTTTTAGTTTTTTTTTAAAAAAAGACGCAAGATTTAGAATCATAGGTGTCTGGGTTCAAATCCCGGTCGGATACAAAGGTATAATTTATTTTTGTTTCTTTTTGTTTGTTGAAGTTTTTGGTTTTTTTTTTAAAGAAAATTGTACTTTTTAACCAAAAACTCCGAGCGAAGCTTGGTGGCCCAGGTACTTTAAACATAAAGTAAATAAGACTCAAAAAGTGAAGTACCTGTATATTAAAATATCTTTGAAAAGGCAAAACCTTTATGTGTTGTTATTTGTTAGCTTGCAGGCTTAATTACGCAGTATGTGAACTTATCAAAAGGATATCCTTTTTGAAAACTAATTGAGCATGTTTAATATACTTAATTTTTTTTGTAAGATAAAGCAGCAATATATAGCTAATATTATTCAACTTTAATTAGTCTTATTTACAATGGCTTCGAAGGTAAGACCAGTAACAGAGGCTTCTTTAACTAAGATCACTAATTTTCAGCTAAAATTACTTATTTTTTGTAGAATTTAAATAAGTGTGTTGTATTATTCAAATGACAATAAATTCAAATTCAAATATACTAAATACTAATAATTAGTATGTTTTTCACAGGTTATAATACTAAGCGCCATCTTGTTGGTATGCATGATCCAGTTAATGCATTGTGATGATGAAAAGTCGCAACCATCTAAAAATGAAAATAATTCAACAAGCTCCGTATCCAGCATAGACTCCATCATACAAAATATTGGCCAAATCGTAAGCCAAATGAATACCACATAGTTCTCTAATTTTATGAAAAATATGAGCAAATCCTAACCGTCACTTTCATATCTTGTAGCACATATTTTTTTAATAACAGTTATAATATTTTGTGCAGGTTTTAGTAAAATAAATGTTTCTTTTTGTGAAAATCTTATGCATGCTTGTATCTTGCAGAAATTTAATTAAAAAAATAAATTTTTGTTACATTGATTTGATTGATTTGATACATTTATTTGACCCAGAAGTATCAATATTTTCAAATTATCACACATTTTACTAAAAACGACGAAACAACTTAAAAATCACATAGAAATAATTAGTACACTTCCGAAATATATTTTTTTATATATTCCATATAAATTAAAAAAAAAAACACCACATTTTATAGTATATTCAATAAAAAAATATCGCGGTAACTACATAAAGAAAAAAATTGTAAATGGAAATGAAATTTAAAATGAATTCAGTACTCCTATTTTTGAAATCGGTTATACATAGAAGAAAGTGTGGAATATATTATTAGGCGCATATTTCCACAACTAGTAACGATAATTTAAATATAAGCTGTTCTGATTTTTCCTAAATAACATTTATTTCTCGGCAATGTTATTTGTATTTTTATTGTCTTGCAAGTCGATATGTTTCAGGAAGTCTTTTGTTGATAAAAGAAACTTTAATGTATGTTATTAACTCAAAAAGAATATAAATTGGACTCGGAATTTAGTAAAGTCAACAATAATGTCTTCTAAAGTACATTAGAATTTTTGATATATTTTAAGTTGTACAAACATTCATGAGTAACTTTACTTCTTCAAAAAAAAAGTCATATTGTATATAATATAGCTAACTTCAAAAATGACTGATTTGGACCTAGGAATAAAAAAAACCTGTTGAATTATTTCTAACTACTTAATACCTTTTTATCAACTTACATGTTCTGTACATTTTGTGGTCCCATATAACTTTGACATTATATGTTTGTAAACTAATCAAATACATCAATAACTGACGACTCACCCTCGCTTCGCTCGGGTTCGTCATTAGGTGCGTTTTAAATACTTATTAACCAGTGTTAGCCATGTATTTTTTTTGTGAATTTTTTCGATGTTATAATACCTATTAGCGTCTTCCGGACTACGAAAAATTTACCTTTCAATCAGGATAATAAATATTTATTTACTAGCATTGCCCGCGGCTCCGCTCGCGTTCAGATGACCAAAATCCGAATTCTTAGGTTTTACATATTAGTATACTCTTACATTGCAATTTTTGTATTTTTTCTCAGAAATGAGACATTTTTCCGCGGTGAAAAGTATCCTATATGTTGACCCGGATAACCAGCTATCACCATACCAGATTTCATCAAAATCCCTCCAGTGGTTTTCCGTGATGCGGTAACAGACAGACAGACAAAAATTCTAAAAACTATAGATTCGGTCTCTGTATCGATAATAATGAAGCCTGACGGTGGCACCAAATCAAAAGAGCCAACATCTCTCCTCTTAGAGGTTCTAAATCGTCTGTGAGTATAGGATCGTCTCCTAGGATCCCGATACTCTTACAGACGTTAAGAGGAGTGTTCTGGAACATTGGCGCTATAGTGAATGGACACTACACATATACTATAGACACCTAATTAGATATATTTGAAGCCTATGATTAACTAATTTTTACTTTTAAGCAATCAATTTAGGTTTTTATAGATTCTTTATCTCTTTATAGATTATTATATCCAGCGTTAATATGATAATATGTATAACTCAATCACTGGCTTGTGGAAAAGTCAAAAGAGAAGTACCAAGAGAGTCGCCAACTGAAGAAGCAGAATTGAAATTAAAGGAAGCTAGGACCTTTATTAATTACTTCAGGCTCCTTTGCTCTTTGTCTGAATTACCCGGTGTTGATATTTTTATGAAAAGTGTCGATAAAGTTAAAAGTGATAATGGGCCAAGTAATTTATTGAGTATTTATTGAGTATTTATTGTATTCAGCCCTTTTTAACGTCCCACTGCTGGGCACGGGCCTCCCTTCAGTGCGAGGGGAATTAGGCCATAGTCCACCACGCTGGCCAAGAGCGGGTTGGCGGACTTCACATGTCTTTCTAAAATTTGTTAGGTTCTCTCAGACATGCAGGTTTCCTCACGATGTTTTCCTTCACCGTAAGGCAATGGTAATCATGTTAGGAATGATTCGCACATGAAAATATCAGAGGTGCGAGACCCGGGATTTTAACCCGCTTCACTCGGTTTCCCAAGCGAGCGCGTTACCACCGGGCTACCACTGCCCTAAGTATTTACATTTGATAAGTAACTATAAGTGATAATAATTATTTATTATTCAGTATTAACGAAGGACATTAATCGTTATTTTAAATAAAAGTGTGTTTTCGGAGTTTTTCTCAGATCTGTTTTGACTTTTGGCTTCCTACATTTCGAATGCTTTACAGTAATCATGGTCACGGGAAAAACTCTGGATGAGTCTCTCCCGTGACCTTCAAAATAAATTCGCGAAAAAATCCGAAAAGATAGTTTTATTTAAAACTAGCAGAACCCGTGGATTCGCTCGCGCTAAAACTACAAAAAAAACTCTAAAAAGGTAAGTTCCATACAAACTTCCATCCCCTATTTTACTCCCTTATGAGATGAATATATATATATAATAATAATTAATTGTATTGAAGAGTATTAATACAAAGTTTCAAGTAATTCTGATCATAAATATTTTTTTGGATTGTATTATAAAAAAAGTAACCTATGTCACTCTCCAGCCCTCCAACTATCTCCACACAAAAAATCACGCTAATTCGCCAAGCCATTTCGACGTGAAAGAAAGACAAACAAACAAACACACTTTTACATTTATAATATTAGTATGGTTGTCAAATATTCGTGAAAATCTATGGAAGTATTAAAAATATAATCGCTATGTTGTAAAAAAACCCACCAGAAACCTTCCAGCCTTCTTTCTATAACTTGACTCATTTTAATGTCAACGTAAGGAATGTAGAACCATATCTTTATGCAGACAACATATCTTCTATGATTGAAATGATTCGAAAAAACGGCGCTTATTATAATAAGACAGCGTAGTTTCGAAACGTTTCAAATCTAAGAGTTTTAATGTAAAATCTATGTAATAATAGTAGCCATCTATCGTGGGCAAGTTCTCTCGTTGAATTTCTAAAAGCATTAAAAGTTGACAGGACAGTAAAAAATTTAAACATTAAATTTCTCAAAAATAAATATAATATATTTTCAGTATGAACATTTTATTTCTACTTCATTGTGTATAAAAAGATCAGTTCTCTCGTAAAAAGTACTTTTTTATCAATTTTATAAGCACAGTCGGGCTAATATTCTGTTTGTTATTGTTTATGGCGATATTAGTATCACCAGAACCAGCATTTTCGATTTTTTTGTCATCTGTAGATCCTTTAGACTCTTCTTTACATTGTGTAAGCTGGATCATACATAACAGTACGACTAAGCTGATGATTTTGATCTGCGAATAAAAGTAAAGAATTTTTTTTTGTTTATAAATACTAATAGTATTATTGTTAAAGGCTGGACAAATCGACCGGACATGGAGGAAGAGTACCTTAAATATTGAAGTTATCAAGATTTTCTTTATTTTAAAAAATAATAATAACTGCATTTAATTTTTTTAGAGTCGATATGTATAATTTGTAAGATTTCACAGTTTTCTTCAATTCTAAGACGCAATGTTTATCCGAGAGATTTTATACTTACCATAGGATAAAAATGATTATCGAATGCATAATTCGATAAAATAGTCACGGTGTCCTTTTTGCATTTTTATTTGGTTCGATTCCCGGTTCAGGTAAGCTTTTTTTTAAATATCCAATTTTTATAAGTAACTGTATTATAAAAACTATTTTTACTTTTATTTTATTTACTTATGTATACTTTTTCAGTTTTTAATTTTGTTTCTTTTTTTAGCATCTTCTATTAAGAGTGTGGTATGAGACCGCTACGATTCGGAGGAGCGGAATGATAAGAATATTGTAACGAGATTGAGAAGTATAGAGTGATAGATGCTCAACGTATTTAAGCGCCAAAACAGTTTTTAATTCACTATAAATTAATTAAACAAGTAAAACCTATCGAAAAATGAAATTCGGTAACTGAAGAAATACTTCTAGGCTTCCTGACAAAACAAAAACCCTCCAAAATCAGTGTGCTGTTATTGAGATAAATTGCAATATGTGTGCAAAATATGTATTTTTCAAAAAAATATATATTGTCCATATAATTACATCAAAGTGGTAACTTTCTACACACTCTTAATTTTATCACTTGCGGTTACTAACGAAGTAAAACAAATATATAATACATATATTACATTTCCATTATCTGTATAAAATTTTTATGTTTTTTTTTCTATAATAAACCTTCAATTTCTAGACTCGGATTTAGAATTTAGTTAAAATTAGTCTTACCTTATAACCCATGGCAGATGTTTTTCAATTGTATGAAATGAAACAATTTTCACCCTTTATATATAGCCAAGCTACGTCATTTTGGAAATAATTCGAAATTACCTCTTTATGAGATTATATCCGCTTCTATATCTTTTATACGTGTACTTAACAAGTTTATGTTACAATTAAAACTTCCTGTTTCAATTGTAATTTGTAACATAATATGGCAATTCATGGTCCATGTTAATTGTAGAATAGTATCTATAATTGAGGCGCCGTGTGCTATAGTGTAGAGTCGTTACCTCAGGGTTTCTTATTTCGTCCATAAATTTTCTAGTTAAAGCAAACAGTGCTCTCACTCTCCCTAGAAGTATTTCTTACAGTGTTTGAGAATAAATGTGTCATATAACTAGATCTTGACACATATTTATATTATTCTTCTTCTCCCTGCCTATTTATCAATCACTTGGGGTCGGCGCAGTACATCTTGCGTGCTGCTGATAGGATTTGGCAAAAGCTTTACTCCTCACTCCTGCCTGACGTCAACCCAGCTTGGGAATACTATTGTCTCTCTTTGTCTGAATGATTTCGCGGAAGTCTTGTAATTATTATGCACTTTCGATTTTGTTGTCTTTTAAAACATTTTTATACTATTACTTAAATTTTTAATGTTATTTTCGGATATATTTTAAAATAAATTTGATTACACCATAAATTTTATTTTGCATTATATTGTCAGTACAAATATTCGTCTAAGAGATTAGAACCTGCGACTGCCGACAATGAAGCCCTTTTTTATACCCATATTTTCTTAAAGTTGGGATCATATTTAAACATAAAGTAAATAAGATTCAAAAAGTAAAGTACCTATATATTAAAATATCCTTGAAAAGGCAAAACCTTTGTATGTGTTGTTATTTGTTAGCTTGCAGGCTTAATTATGCAGTATGTGAACTTATCAAAAGGATATCCTTTTTGAAAACTAATAATTGAACATGTTAATATACTTGAATTTTTTTGTAGGGTAAAGCAGTAATGTATAGCTGGGAATATTATTCAACTTTCATCAGTCTTATTTACAATGGCTTCGAAGGTAAAACCAGTAACAGACCTTTCTTTTACTAAAACCACAAATTTTCAGCTATAATTACTTATTTTTTGTAGAATTTAAATAAGTGTGTTGTAAATGAATAAAAAAATGAAAATAATTCAATAAGCTCCGTATCCGGCATAGACTCCATCATACAAAATATTGGCCAAATCGTAAGCCAAATGAATCCCACACAGTTCTCTAATTTTATGAAAAATATGAGCAAATCCTAACCGTCACTTTCATATCTTGTTGCACAAATTTTTTTAATAACAGTTATAATATTTTGTACAGGTACAACCTAAAAATCACATAGAAATAATTAGTACACTTCCGAAAATTTTTTTTTATATATTCCATATAATTTAAAAAAAACACCACATTTTATAATATATTCATAAAAAAATATCGCGGTAACTACATAAAGAAAAAAATTGTAAATGGAAATGAAATTGAACATGAATTAAGTACCTCCTATTTTTGAAATCGGTTATACATAGAAGAAAGCGTGGAATATATTATTAGGCGCATATTTCCACAACTAGTAATGATAATTTATATATAAGCTGTTCAGATTTTTCCTAAATCAAGACATGTGTTCATTTTTATCAAAAAAAAAAACATTTATTTATCGGCAATGTTATTTGTATTTTTATTGTCTTGCAAGTCGATATATTTCAGGAAATCTTTTGTTGATAAAAGAAACTTTAATGTATGTTATTAACTCAAAAAGAATATAAATTGTGATTTTTTTCGATGTTTTAATACCTATTAGCCTATTCCGGACTACGAAAAATTTACTTTTCAATCAGGATAATAAATATTTATTTACTAGCATTGCCCGCGGTTCCGCTCGCTTTCAGATGACCAAAATCCTAATTCTTAGGTTTTACATATTAGTATACTCTTACGTTGCAGTTTTTGTATTTTTTCTCAAAAATGAGACATTTTTCCGCGGTGAAAAGTATCCTATATGTTGACCTGGATAACCAGCTTTCATCATACCAAATTTCATCAAAATCCCTCCAGTGGTTTTCCGTGATGCGGTAACACACAGACAGACAGACAAAAATGCCAAAAACTATAGATTCGGTCTCTGTATTGATAATAATGTCTATTTCAATAAGATTATCCAAAAAATATTTAATGTACAGATTCGGCTTAGTTACATTTTTATTATATGTATTAATAACCTACAAATTGTCACATTGATTTTAAACTTATAAAGTGTAGATGTTTCCGCTGAAAATATGATAATAACATGTTTGGAACTCTTTTGGAGGATTTATTTAAATACTCAGTGTATTTAAGACATCTTGTTTAAAGAATTAAAATCTAATTCTGATGTATCGATATAAAATTGCTACCTTTGTTGGTTGACATTGACTCCAATGAAAAAAAACAAGTAAAAAATATCAATATGGGGGTTTTAATTTTTTT